CTCACAATTATGAAATATTTCACAACCTCTCACAGTATTTCACAAACTCTTCGTGAAGTTCATTTCATTTCTGGACATTTATTTGAAAACCAGTGTAGTTTCTTATCTGAAAATAAATAATAAAAAAGCTAATGCTTTTGAACTTCAGTTCAGTAAATTTTTTAATCAAGTATTTGTTACAAATACCTTTTCATGAAGGAGTTTCAAATTTCCTTTGCTCATGATTTGAGACTTACAACTCTAATTCTGCAAGCTTTAGTATTATCCTAACACAATTATTTAACTGAGGATAAAACAGTATGGAGAAAAATAAAAGCACTTCAAGTCTTAATGTTGACAAAAATCATGGAAATGCTTGTGGACAATATTTTTACTGTGCCTTTAGGTTAGAACGGACCTTGATATGAACAGCTAGATTTATATTTGAAGGCAAGTACCATTCTGACTCTAGACAATTGTGAAAACATGACAGAGGCAAAGGAAAAGAGAGCCGTGACATTTAAATACTGCCATAGTTGGACTTCAAATGGTTTGAAGAAGAAAATGTACCAAGCCCATCTGTTTTAATAGTAAAATGACATTCTAGATTTCAGACACCTACTTAAAATCTGTGCAATTATATATTCAATTTTTTTCTCTATGAGCTTATTTCTGTTTAATTACAAATATTCATACTAAAAAGTCACATAACAGAAACTCTTAGGTACTGCAATGCTTACAGTTATAATAAACTGCTAGTTTTTGTAAGGTCTTTTTCGGGGGGAGGAAATAACTTTATAGTATGTAGTATTTATTAGATGCCATTTCTATTCAGAAGATTTCTGCAACAAATTCATGGGTAGCTTGTGTGCAAGTTTATCAGGAAATTCATGTGAATATGTCCTGCGCTGTCTGAAAAGCTAGCTACAATTATAAGGTTTCATGAATATGTGCCTATTCAATTCAAGAACTGCCATTAAAAATGTAGGCACTTTATGCTCAAGTACCTTCTCTTTTTCTTTCCATTCAGGTTTGCTGTGGAGAGGAATAGGAATATGGGCAAACTGATCACTCATGCAGAGCAGGCTTTTTGAGTTTTCAGAATAACAAGCTTTTGGTAAAGTTGTTCTCTGCACTGAGATCATTTAAATACATACATTATGAATCGAACTTTAAAAAAAGCATTTTTCTCTGGGAGGAAAGGAGAGAAATACCTGAAAAAAGCACCACAATGTGTCCCCACAGGCAAAGTAGAAAAGTGAGTGCCAGTGAGTGCTCTGCTGGTGCTCACCGGACTGAGTACTGAAGTTACTTATGTGAGCTAAGCATCGTTGAGCTGTGCTCCATCTAGGTGGGTAGGTATATTTGGCAAAATGTAAAAAAGGGAAAAATGTGGCAAAAAGTACACAAACTTCACTGCAACCATAGCAAAACAAACGAACAAACAAATGATTGCCAGCCTTAATGTTATTCCTCCTTCATTTAAAGGAAGAATTAAATATTAAAGATAGTGTATGTGAATATGTAAACATCACTAAAAACTCCTTCATTCTCAGCAAAATCTCTAGGATAACTTTGTTTCCCCCCTACACCCCTTCCTGAACAACCCTTTTCAGATATATGAACTCTTTAGAGTACAGCTTCATCTTCAAATAAAATTAAAATGTCCAAGAAAACTACTGTTGTCCTGGACTAAATAATTTTAAAAAGAGGCTGCTTATCAGCAAAGCGAGAAGCTGAAAGTACTTTTTAATTGCTTTTTCTAAGATGATTAGTAAGTCATTAGGTATTGTTTAATACATAGGAACAAATGAAGATAGTATGCAAATGGTACAGGTATAGGAGGGAGGGAGGGAGTAAAGCTAGTAATGGAAGTTTGTTGGTATAGGTATGAAAACAGTTTGTAAGGAAGGCTTCTTTTTCTTGCAAAATTTCGTGCTATGCAAAATAGTTTACATTTTTTCACAAGGTGCTGTTGTTCCTAAAGTAATGGAAAGTTCTATTGATTTGGATAGGAGTATATTATTTTTAACTTGATGTAGAACTTCTTTTTGCTTCCTAAATAACTACTCCTGTAACAAAATCAAAGTGCTATATACTAAGGAAATTGCTATACAGAATAGTGTAATGACCTTACTGAACTATAACTGTGTGGCAGAGCTTTCAGATCTTGTTGTTCCAAAGGTCCAAGACAATTTTAACTGCACCACTTATATCTACAGTACTAGATTACTTTGAACACCTTCTTGCACACAGATTAGTAACAACTCAAAAAGTTTGCCTTGGTTTAATATCAAATATTAACAGTTTCTGCTGATATTGCTTCAGCAATATTGAAGAAGAAAAATAGAATGTAAAAACAACAGTTTGGCTAGAAATCAGTGGACCCTGGAACCATTTCCTTTAGCCAGAAACAAAACAAAACAAAACGTGGAGTTATCAACATTTCCAGTTTATAGGAATTTTATTGTGTGAAAGCAAAATTTTGACTTGTGGTAAGTGACACTAACAAAAATAGAATAATAATAAAGTTTAACAGCTGAGAGGTAAGTTACCTCTCTCCATCCATTATGTTAACAAAAACCAATGAGAGAGAAGAAAAAGACTTGCACAAGTCTTGCCTTGTATGGCTCCCTGGATGAATCTGTGTTTGGATATAGATTAATATCCTACTATGAATAGTAAGACAATAGAAGTAGTACCTAAGAAAGTGCTCTTGCACTGAATCACAATCTCCCAGAAGCTCTCATTGGCACATAATCCAAAGTCCTTGCTGGAACTTGATAGCTGATGCTGAAAAACTTATTTGGTAATAGGAAACCACTTCTTAGTGATCACCAGACAGAATTTTACATTTAAGAATGAATCATTTGTTTCTTTCTCCTATTTGTTATGTATTGCTTAATAAAACTGTGATATAGCCAGAGAGCTCTTTGTGATTTATCTGTATTCCTTTCTTTATCAGCTCGTTGTACTGCATGTGTAATATTACAGGGGAATATTTCTCCCTCAACCAATACAAATACCCCTTCTCTCCAGGGCGGGCTGCTTAAACTCAATTCTCAGCTCATCTGTGCTGTTCAGCAGTTCTCTCCATATCCATCCTCCATTCTTTTCACACCATTAGCAACGGAAATTCCGGTAGCCAAATTGCGCTCTGCATTTCTGCAGTACATTCAGCAATCCCTCCTGCCTTTGCACATTTCAGACCAGAAGGTAAGCAGGCCTGGTGGGCTGCAACAACACACAGGCCCTTCTACAAGCCAGATTAGGGTTTCCCAGCTCGCTATGCTTGTGTGCCACCAACCTTAACGAGGGAGCTGTATTGTACCATATGGTGGCAGCCAGCTCGTCTCTGGCTGTAGGCCCAGCTGTGCTTAGCTCTAGAGGGTTGTGAATGCTCTCTGAAGGGCCGTTTCCTCCTTTCCTGGGCACAAATCAAGGGATCAAGCTTCCTCTTTCCATTTATTTGCTGCACCTCACTTCAAAACAGCTTGAAGATCAATACTGATTTGTATTCTGAAGAAAAAATAACATGCCTCTTCTTGTATAAATAAACAAACTCCTACTTGGCTTATCAACCGATGCTGAAGACTAATGGCATTATGGGTATGTCCTTTAACAGTACTTCTGCATGAAAATGGTTACCAGATACTTGCGGAGTTTGTGCTAACAGGTTAAGGTTTGTTGGTGGGTATCCAAACTACATGAAAGTACACGAAAAATGCTAATTCTAGGATTTTGTTCCTTGGTAACTTTCACGATAGAATTTCAAATGCTTTTCCAGGTGATGTCTAATGGAAGTAACTCAGGCAAAACAAGGAAGGAATCTTAAAAAATTAAAAAAAAAATCTTTTTTCAATGCTGAAACTCTGTTTAAGAAGTTTAATGTGTACTAGCAAAAGACTGCTTTATGGAAGAAAGTGACGGAATTAGTTAATTCAAGGGGAAGGATAAGTGCTTTCTCAATACATGAAACGTGTTTCAAATGTAGTATACTCTATACCTCTGTAGACATTACAGAGTAGAAAGTCCTCTGTTACACAGATTAATTCTCCATTTTCTTCTCTAAATATTTGACTTTGAGTTTCTTGGACTGACTGGATTCCTACCAGTAAAGACTGCAGACATTAAGAAGAGGACACAGTCTTCAGGAACTTGCATACTCCTTTTGTGCATGTTTTAGGGAAACACTACATAACAGTCTGCATTTGCAAGAGCATTCCACTACTGCATTTATGACTGCACACAGTTAAAAAAAGAGTATAAAACTGAAGATGGAAATAAGAGAGTAAGAAAATATTCTCATCCTTGCACTTACTTAGATTGTTACAAATAAACAAGAAAGGGAAGAGCATCTATTGCACCTAGGGACCTGATTTAATTAAAGCTCACCATAAGCACTTCTTTTTAGCATATATATAACATCTTCTCTGAACTTTATCACTCACCTATACATGTAGTGCCAAAGGGAGTTATAGAAACCAGTTGACCAAGCATTCAGATTGTTTAAAAGATTGAAAAAGCTCCATTAGTTTCAATTATCCTACACCAATTTATAATGTGATAATCCATAGCAATGTTTTACAATAGGAAACCAAGTTTACCCATTTCCTATGGACTCAGTGGAGCTCCACCATGTGCCATGCTCACGCACTTTACACAGAGGACTTCCTGACAAGTCCATACCGCTATTTCTGTGAGACACTGGCAGATGAAATCACATTCTCTTTGATGGAAACATTTCCAACAGAAGCAAGACAGCGAGACAGAGACAGCACACTCCTTTCCAAACACAACACTCATTACACGATTTAAAGAACAGTTACAGGTGTCCATCCTGCATCTGTAATATCAAAGCAATAAATCCAAAATACTTCTTTGGGCTACAGTTATTGTCAGAAGAATAGGAACCAATGCAATAGCAGCAATCAAAAAGGCTTCAGCAGCACTATAAAAATAAGGCAGTCTCACATGACAACTATGGAGCGATGACTTTTTAAAATATTATTTTTACTCACGTGATACAAAGTTGTTTCTGGTCCAGGTGTGCCCATAACTTCTTGTCTCAGTGAATCCATTTGTAAGCTAGGCAACAATGAGTAATGGCTTGGACTATTACTCTTGTCTCCCTTCTTTTTGGATTTTTTCCCGGTATCCTTTTTGCTATTCCTTTGAAACATGTATTCTTCTTGACCTATTTTCTCATTGCTCATATAGCGAAGTAATGAATTTTCTTTGAAAGAAACAAAATAATGTAAGGGAGCATCGTTAATTGTCATACGGAAGATAAACTCCCTTCCAAAATACATAACACTCCTGCATCTACTAGATCTAAGATTCCAAGTCTTCATGGCTATCTCATTAAATAAACATATTTACCTCTTTGGTCTGGATATAATAAGAAAACAGTGAATCTTTTGGTAGGGAGAAGACTGAAAACAATTGCAGTTTTGTGGTTTCTCTGACAATAACAAGAACATAACATAAAAGAAGCTCCACAACTACAAATGCTCTCTTGATAATAAAAAAAGATAGTGATAGCACAACTTAAGATCATATTTGAAACCTTTTTTATTATTATTATTTTTACTTTAAGCAAGATAAATAAATGCAGATGACTGGGATGTCATACATTCTCAAGTAATTTGCTTTGAACATTCACCTGACCTTGTTCTCTTTATCATTCATGCTTTCTATGAATACTCTTCCAGCATCTACCAGTTGGTAGCCAATGGATATCCTGAGCCAGATGAAGTGTTTGTGAACTTAGAAAAGCTCAACAAACTTGTCTTTCATGAGCTTGTTTAATCTTTGCCTGTATTCCTGTAAACTTTAGCACCTACAACTGCCTGTGATAAGGGGGATCCTCAGCCTGAATCCATACTGCATAAGGAACCACCTCTTTTTTCTGTCCAACCAGTATTGGACAGAAGCAATTGATATTTCACAGTTTTGGTATTGGAAAGGGGAGTGACTGGCCTATCCACTTATTTAATTCTATACAAACTTTTAAAAAACTTTGGCACATCCTACCTATGCTCTTCCACACAAATGAAGTCCAGCCTACTTAATCATTCCTTGCATGGAAGCCAGTCCATGTACACCATGATCTTTGCTGCCGTTCCCTGAATCATTTCCAATTCTACTATTTTTTTAAGAGTTGGAGAGATTAGAACCACACATGTACCTAAAATGCAATAACTTACAGAGCAGTGCTTTGTATTATTTTCCTAATGATTTCTAACAGTGTTTTTTTTTTGGTCCTTACTGAGCACTGAGCTGATGTTTTCATGTTTTGATGTTTTTTAAGATCCTATTGCTGAGGGATTCTAGTCAGCTCAGAGGTTATAATTTCATATGTGAAGTTACATAGCTGAGCCTCCCAAACCAGAACTTTGAAGAATTCACCTTGACTATTTTGAGCTGCTCTAGAACGCTTTTCACTCCAAAAGGACTTATGAAGACAAAGCAACTTAACATGTAATTCTTACTTAGGCATAACAATATATAGCAGTAGTAATACTACATTTAAAAAGTTTACAGTTTCCAAAAGAACTGTATAATGCAGTTCAAGCAACAAAATATCAATATCATTAAAGCTAAACCAAACTGCAGGGATTTGAAGCTATGATTTCCTCTTGTCTGATTATGAAATCATAATAGAAGCTATGAGAAAAATCAAGCATACATATAATGGAACACCCCATATCAGGCTCAGAGAAATACGTAATTAATCAAGCCCTCATCAAAATGAGGGCTTGAAACATATTATCATAGCTTAAAGGGTGATAAAAACTGTAACATCATGTACAAGATGTATGTCAAAATCACTTACCTCTCCTACTATCTCTTTTTATTTTATTGGGGTCCTCATAATCTCCCACCCAATTATATTCTACTGGCATAGAAATAGGCCTTAGTTTCCCTGGAAACAAAGAAAAAATGAGATCATGCACCATTTTATGCAGCAGTGTTAAACTAACATTCTTTAAAAGAAAGAACAAATTAAATGCAAATGTGATTATTCTACAGGATTGCTTATGAAAGAGGTTTCAGCACAGCCTCTGAACAAGAGGTTAAAATAGGAGTTTTATTTTCTTTAAAAGGACAAAAAGCAGCTAGGTATTTCATAGCTTTTTTTTTTTTTTTTTTTAAGCTTGGGAAATAAATTCGGTGTCTACTAAATCACCAACACACAGACTGAGCTTTCTCCAAATGTATTCAATTTACAGATTAGTTTTCGCTGTGCGATGTCTGTTTATTATTCTGCAAGGCCCTGGTACACACATGCAGAGAAGGGTTGGAAAGCATAAAGAAGGAATTGTTTCTAACAGAAACATGTGCACATCACTAAAGTACCTTCACAAATAGCATCTTTGCTGGTGGGCTTAAAAGATCCATCAGTTACTGAATGAGAAAGGAAACAGAAAACCTCTATTTGTAATTTCTTTTTATAGCATTTCATCCACAGAAAAACATAGTATGTTAGTACTAGAAAATTCACTTTGATCTCAGAAGGTAAGAAGAAACAGAAAAGCTGAAAACTATTACATATCTATAAAGCCTGAATTTGGAAGCTGCTGAAGTAATTTTTAAAAATGCTGTGAGATATGTCTACTATTTAAAAAGTTCACAAATACGGATGGAAATTCAGTGAAAATATGCTATGCAAATTAGTATAGCTACTTGGAGAGATCTGATTTTTTTAGTGAGTTAAGTAATTCATTGAAACAAAAAATAGAGTAACATGGCACAGGACAGACTGAAAAAAAATGTTTTCAGAAATAAGGTCTTCCTTTGCTCTTTTTTAAATCACTCCACTAGTCATGTTGCATAAAAGTGGGTAAATAAACTGCTTCTAAGCTTAGCAGAGTTCAAACTAAAAGGTTAGAAGTCTTTTAATATATTTCATCAGAAAACGTTCTCAGTAAAGATGATCAGTCCCATTCATTCATATTAAGTCAAAATATGCTGGAAAAAAAGCATTTGGTTATATCGAATACAAATATTCAGACATGTCTATCTACCCATTTAAAAATGGCATCCACTGAAGTATATCAGTACCATGCAAACTGTGTAACAGGAAAAAGTTATAATGACCTTTTTAAAAAAGAACAGGATACCCCAGTGATGTCAGAAAAGAAAAAGGTATAGGTTCCTCAAGGATTACAGGCTCTGTTTGCAAGTATAGCATTACCCAGAAAATACAGCTAACATTTTTAACTTTTTTATTTATAATTTATTTAACTATTTATGGGCACATGTATAAGTCTCATTGAAGTCAGTGAGATTTAAAGCTTGTAGTTAAGAAATCATTTCCTAAGAAGATATGTAGTAGCCTCATATATATTTTAACAGAATTCTCAATGGGTACTTCTAGAAATACAACTTTCTTTTCTATGTGACACTTAATTCACAATCTATCATACAAAGGACTTGCACGCATAAAAAGATCTACAAGATATAAAATCAAACAGAGCCTAATTACTATCAAAGGCTATAACAGTAATGACTATTCTGCAAAACCCATGGCTATTTGAAGTGTATATTTTTTATACTTGGCAGTATAATCAGAATGACCAGTTGAGTGAATGACACTCCTTCATTTGCCTGCCACCCCTGCTAATTAACTTGTTAGCCCACATGGATCCACTAAATCTGTGTTCCCTGGGGCCTACACTCAGGAAAACGTCTTTTGCTTGTGAACAGGAGCTCACGGAGGCCAATTAGCAACAATTATGCAACAGCTGGAAGCCAGTAAGCGCATGAGAGAGAAATCTCTTTGCTAAGGTAGTCAAAAAACATCAATAGATTCCTAAAGAGCAATTATGGAGGGCCCTGTTAACCTCTTAGGAAGGAAGACTGAGAAAGAGTAAAAAAAAAAAAAAAAAAAAAAAAAAAAAAAAAAATATACAACACAAAATAAAAAAAAAAAAAAAAGGAAAATAATGTCACGGCATAATTAATGAGTGCACATTTAAAACAATTATTTTTCTAGCCCCTTTAACACTGCTTGACCTTCTTTAATAGGGCATGATGAAAAAGAAGACTGTGATCTTCACATTCCAGACTTCTGTGAAATCTGGAGATTGTGGCTAGCCACAAATCCTGTGCTAACGAGTGCCATGTGGGAAAGTTTATAACTTAATGCTGAAATGGTAATATTCCTAGAAAATAAACTTAACTGAAAACAGACTCTATGGTCTGAATTCATTAAAAATGAAGTGAGGTTAAAAGTGAAAAAACGTATAATAAATGTCTTAAATAATGGCAGTACAATCTTTGATCCATGCATTTATACTCTTTCTGCTAAGGAAAAAGAAGATAAAAAAGCTATCTGCTGGCAGTATAATGGATTCAGCAATCCTTGAAGACAAAATGTGCTCTTCTTCACTCTAGACCCTTAGGATTAAAAGTTAAAGTCAGGGACAGCAAGCACCTCTGTTAATGGATATGACTGAAGCCACCAATTTTACAGTTGAAATTAAATTGATGAATCAACTTTAAACACTTAGCAGTTATTTCATACAGTATGAGTGGGCTTGGAAAACACCTGAAAATGCTTCAGAATCAAAGGATACTGAAAATTTGGAGCAGAACTGCGTGGCTCTGTAAAACAAGTATATTTTTATGAAAATATAACCTTTAGCATTCTGTAACTATATGTCTAAGAGTCCTGAGGATACGATTTGCAGCTCAGATTCAACTCATATCAACATTCCCAGGTGATTTTGGAGATTTGCTGCATGATGCACCAAATCTGTGCTTCCTTGGAAATCATGTCTGTCTTTTCAGAGCAGAATGATGCCCCATTTACTGTAGTTACTCCAACATACAGCTTGTGCTCTTGTTAAAATAACATGGAAACTGGGGCAAAAATATATTCAGGTATGCGCTTAGCTAAAAGTATAAGAGTAGTAATAAAAATATCTTTTTTTCAAGGCAAGCTTATTCTCCATACTGTAGTTATGCTCAGCGAATTCAGTTAATTTTTTATGTCAAAACCTGCAGACGCTACCAAAAACATTTTTGCCTTCCTTGCTCTGCCACAGAAATCTGGGAAGAATGCAATAAGGTGAATGGGTAAAATGAAATGAGATTCCCTCTTCATTTTCTTCTATATTCTAACAGCTCTACAATGCTACGATTTTGCATTTGGCAACAGAAAAGCAATAATCCTAGTCCAAAGCTGAAACAAGTTGTAATACAAGCTAAGGGAAGAGTTCCAATAGCTTGAAAGGGAAAATAACAGAACATCAAGGTCAGAGGACTCAAACTCTCACTAGAATTTGTTGCAACATTTGCACCCTATCCAGGTCAAAATCCAGGATGTGGAAGTACCAGCATGAATACATGTTTGTGTTTACATACATAATTCTTTCTTGGACAACATATAACCTCAAAAAAGAGGGACTGCCATATATAGGCAGTGACAGGAGGTTAATATAATATTACAAAAAAAGTGTATCATCACTCTTCAATTCTAGGGCTAGAAAAAAATAAAGGAGTTTTAAAGAGCATTGCAGCATGAAAGCAACATGTCATCATGCGGCAAATCTCATTTTGATCTTTAGAATGATTATATCAGGGTAAATTCCTCTAATATATCATGTTCTAAATGATGAGATGATTGCCCTCATACTGGGAGCCCACTTCCATCCTGTATTTTTAGTACAAAGAATTGGTTTCTGACAAAATGATACTGCAGCATAAGCCAGAAAATGAAGCTGATCCAATTAAGAATAAAGATTTTGTCTAAAACTTCCAGACAGACAGATTATTGGTACAAAACTGGACTCCCTATTATCATAAGCAATGCATTTTCTTTATGTGCAGAATAAGCTACTTCAGACTAAACAAAACTGAATTCTTCACAAAATCAATGGTCACTCAGAATATTTTTATGCTTAAATCCAAGAGCAGATGCATAAAAAAAACTAAGATCAAAATAAGGAAAGATTAGGAAATATTATCACATTAATACCATACCATATGTTGGTGTGCTCTCTCTCCTCCCAGGACCGCTTGTTCTTCCTTTCTCATATTCATAGCAGTATAAAACTGCATCTTCTTCAACCACATTAAAGCGCTTTCGATATTCTTGGTCAAGAAATGAATTTGGAGATTCAGATCCTGTGTGAACCGGCTTGCCCACTATGTGTCTGCCGACATCATCACACGGAAGATTTCCCTTTTCGTCCCTTCAGGGAATAAGAGAGAGCTTTAATATACCGGGCCAAGGCATTTGCAGCTTTTACTAACAATATTTCAATAAATATGGAAATATGTCAATAGCTCATCTGAGCAGAAAATGGGCACCATATCATCCATCGCATATGCACGCAGACACACGTGGATGCCAGTTTTCCCACACACCTCTGCTAATTCATTTCCAATTCAGACCCTGTCCATCCTACTGTTTGTTTTTCTGTTTTTGTTTTTGTTTTGCGAAAGGAATCTTACAAATAAAAAAGTATCTATTTTATTGGTTTCTGATGAGAAGCATCATGCAAATAAAGCTGACATGTACATCTACTCTTTTGCTCTTCCTTTTGGAAACACCCAACCATTTTGCGTTTTAGGGCAAAGTGACAACGCTGACCTTACTCTTTTACACTTCCACATTTTTAAATGTATCGGGTAGTTCTTCCCCACAACAGCAACAAAAGCAGAAGTGGATGCTGGGCAGTTTAATAATGCCCCAAGTAAAGGCTTGCTTAAATAAAGTAAACGAATTCCAATAAATAAATAAATAAACAAAATAAAAAAGCCTGCGGAAGTGCCAAAACGGATCATGTGGAAACACTGTACGCTCTGTGACAGGTCTGTGAAATGAAGTGTAGTCCATGAGGATTAAGATGACAAAAGAAGGTTCAAAAGTGCATGGCTTAATCTTGCTGTAAGACTGCAGATTGTAGTAATAAGCGAGCTAATATTTAATCATAATTGGTCCAACCTCTTGCATTACCATCATGATTTAAGAAGTGTTATTAATAAATAATCAAAATGCACATTAAAATTTTCAGCTTCCACAGCAACACTTAAAAGCTGTTGAATGCCAATCAGTAAAAATAATGTGTGGAAAATGTGTTTTTACTAAGTAACATCAATAATATTGTTATGATCAGCATTATTATAAAGACACTGCTTCAGGCTGTTTCAGTTTCAAGGCTGATGATTTTCACCAGTTAACTACTTCAGTCAAAGAGAAACCTGAAGACTATGGGCTCTTCTTGTTTTGTTTTGCTTTTCAGAGTTTTTATCCTAATGGTTTTAAAATTAAATGCTTGTATTTTTCTGTACACTTTTTGGAAACTATGTTCTTAAAATTGTATTTACATAGACATAATAAAATATCCAGTTATGAGACAGATAAAAGACACATTTAATCTCTATGAACAATTCAAGTAAAACGACCAACAATGTTTTTATATAATCACAAGAAAAATCCAATCTAGTCAGTGAACTAGACCATATATTGTTTATCACTTTAAGATGGCTACTAAAGTATTATTTTAGCAAATCCAAGAGGGTAGATGTTTCACACTCAATGTAAACTGACAACGTGAAGGATTTTCCCTTTTTCCTTGAAATAAAAAACAGGCCAGGTAACAGATAAGGCAGTGATAAGGAAAGAATATTGGGTTTGGTTAATGGCTTCATAAAAGGGCTGTGGCCCCACCTAAATCATGAAGTGAAAAGTTACTATTTTTTCCTGGAAGGTTTTCCTTATATATCTCTGAAGAGTAAGAGTTTATCATAGAAACACAATTTCTCCTTCCCACTGGGCAGTTTAATTTGCCATATACCTCTCTCCTGAATAACCCCCAGGGAAACTCTGTCAGCAGCAGGCCATACATCATATTAATTGGCTCGAAGAGTTCCTGATATGCAAGTCTAAGAAAAACTCAAGTACAAGAAACTCTGGTACAAGAAAGGACACGCTGCCCTTACAATCTTTCAGAAAAGCACTAAAAGCAAAGCAAAGCAAGAAGTAATTTAAAAATACACTAAGCATACATGCAACATTCTGAACCTAGCAATACAGAAGAAACTTCAGGAACACTCCCCTATGCCTCTGTGCAGTTACTATTGTAACTTATGCTACCAATGTCTCAGAGTTTTTGGAAAGCAAAATGCACTTTTCACAATTCAGTTGTGGTCATGTGAGGGTGGAACTATGAATTTGCAGCTCCTCTGACTCAGACTGGGAATCTGGAGCCATGCAGGGACAGAGGTGAAAATGCTTCTTCCAGGTGTCAGCTTGGAGTGGCTGGGTATTTATGGCACAGGGGGCCACTGCAGAGCATAGTATGGTGGCCACACAAAAAGTCATCCTGAAAATTGCTGTGACACTATCAAACCAAATATATCTAAAAAAAACAAATCACTACGGCTGAGCAAAATACTGCCCTGACTGTCAAAGCTGCAAACTTTCTTGCTTTTGCCCCTTGTGTAATGGTTTCTAGCCAAGGGGACAGACATTAATCCCTTTCCTACTTACGGATTCAGGGTTTCAGGTAATTTTTGATTTTTGGAAAGAGACTGAGATAGGGACCAGATTATCCTATCATTGAGGAAAGATGGCTTTGTGCCTTCCTTTGCAAAGGATACTGCTTGGCAGAGAAGCTATTGCTTCAGACTGCTGTGAGTCTAGCTCAGCATATCTACTGCAAATAACCATCCCTTGCAAAAGTATTGCTGGCTTAGTTCTGCAGCTCCAGGCAAGAACAGAATGCTTGGTTATTTTACAAGTATTTTTTCACCATAAATTGAACCTGAAATGATCTTTCTTTACCTGGGAACATAAGGTTCTGTTGGTGGAGGGGGTATGTAGAGATCCTGCAGGGCAGAACTGTCTCTCTTCGTAGGCGTGCTGATAGTGCTGGATGGTGTAGCCACGCTGCTTGTAGGGCTTCTAGGAATAAGAGGCTGGTTCAAAAGAGAGAAAGAGAGAGAGAGAGAGAAAACCATGATTATCTGTATATTACCCATTTTCTCTGGAAAAAAAAAAGCAACAGAAACAAAAACAAAACATAGTTGTTTTAGAAAATTAAGCAAACATTTCAAATGCTTTGCGAATTTTTAAACTTTCTGGAAAAAAAACACTCATGCTAAAGAGATATTCACATGTACAAATGGACATGTATTGTGCTTATAGAATTGACTTCTCTGATTTTCTCTTTCCTTTTCCTCTTTGCAAAGGAGGATTATTGCCAGTGCCTACAGAAGCAGTAATCAGTAGTGTCATTGCTGAAACTTTTATGAGTAAATAACATATAAAATCCAGTGAATTCTTTAATTAAACTAACACAGTCTAGTGTTTACAGTAAAAGGTGCATAAGAAGGCACTAAATAGAATGTCATCCTCCCCCCATCCACTTTACTGCTTAAGAATTAACTGTAAAATCTCCAGTCTGTGTCTGCAGATGCTGTAAAATTTGATGCATCCTCAGAGCACACGAGCTACGAGACAGAACAAACTGGAAATTGTGATTACTCTTCCTTCCCCTGGGCATCCTCCTGACAAGTAACACTTACTTCCAGGTGAATAAGTTGTACCTTCCCTGCAGAACAAACACACATTCCAGCTAGCTACCATTCCAGCCCAGACATGATCCTACACCTTAATCACATTATCTCTCTTCCTTGAGTTAAGCACCACTTCTTCTTCCTCAACTTAACTGCCTTGGCTAGCTAAATAATGACCAAACTCTTCCAGAGTTTATTAGCTCACCATATGCCTGGAAATGATAGCAAGATTTGCAAACTGTGTCTATACAGATGCAGAAAAATAAAATGAGAAGCACACCTGAATGGCTCTTGTCTCCCTAATAATAAGCCTATGTTTCTTGACTTGTCTGATAGTTAAATGTAAGCAGAAGAAACAGAAAAATGCCAAAGAAGCAAGTACAATCTTCAGGCACACTAAAATTCTTCCGGTATTAAATGAGTTTTGTTTTGAAAGAGTTCTTTCCCCTCTATCCTATTGGAAACAAATCCCTTGGAGAGAAAAGTAGTGGGAATACAGTGTTCACTACACTTATGTTTTCTGACCTAAAAAACTGCTGGAAGACACACATATTTAACATTGCATTTACTGCAGAGAAGTTCTGAAGACAGACTAAACAGACATGTAAGGAGACTCTTCTGCCAGCACTATTAAGAATACTTTATGACAGAACAACAAGGCTTTCCTGTACAGAATAATCAGTTCTCATTTTCTAGATGTTAATCTGGACACTGCAGTAGCACACCACAACTGCAAAAAGCTCCAAGAATTCAGCAGCATGAACTTTATGAAAAGTTGGCCTTTCATAAGCTTGGTGATACTTGGTGATAACTGAGTCTAATACTTTTAAAGCCCCCAGCCTAAATCTTGCCTTACTTCTTCTCTATCAGTATTGTAAGAATAACACCTGATGCCTAGAAAACCTGACCTCTTTAACCAGTTACTACCATGTTTTATTTGGAAACTTTAGGAATAGAATCCTGCTACATTTAATCCCCAAAATAACAAATTACAACATTTAAATTTTTATGTTAAAACTTTGCCAGAATGTTTGCAGGACAATAGCTATGTCGTCATGCAATTTTTGTCTTTCTGCATATCAGAAGTCTGTACAACCATAAACAATGACACTGTTCAATTCTTTTCCTTCTCACTAGATTTAATGTGAGTATTGTGTAATTCAGACCAAGACAGATAATCACTATTTGCACGAAGAGGGGGAGAAAGACACACACAGAAAAACAAACAGATAAAAGACTTTACAGCCATTAAAAACAAGCAGAAGATCGAGGTCTTCAAAACTAAAAACTTAAGTCTGTAACAGAAGTGAAAAAAAATCACACAAAAGCCTCTAAGAAAACTCTTTTAGCGAAACACAAGTCTTATCTGTGACACTGTAACCAGTGGCTCTTGAACCACTTATTAAAGCAGCACTGATTATTTCCTTTCTAATACCTTGCACTTTTCTGACAAGCATACGTTGTGGCTTGGTGAGTAGAATGTAAAATTAATCTTCCCTCCAAATCATTTTTTTTTTCTCAACTTAGATCACATTTACACTTGTCAAGCACAGGCTGCTGCTGTTCATGGCTCACAAGGGTAGGAAGAGGAACAGAAAATGAGATGGGTAGAGTTATTCATTCCACTTCATTTTAAGGAGTAAGATCTCTGTGTGGATATAGAAGGGGACAGAGGCACTAAGACCTGGACTCATGGCAAATAGGAGTTTAAGGTTTCCATCACATAAAGAAATGGGGCTTAAGCAGAATTGTCATCTTACATCAGGCTGGTGAGCCTCCTTGGGCCCTAGCTGGCTGCTAGAGGGCTACATTAAAGATTTCCCCTTGTATTACAGCCTCGAGTTGCAGGCTTAAAGACTAAATGTTCACAAGACAGGCTTAATTTCTGGAAAATTCCATTGCTGAAGTCTGGGAAATCTGCTGGGTGACTTCATTGCAGAAATTTTATGAGTCCCTGATAACAAACCGTCCAGTTATACAAGCTGGCTTGCACATCAGAACAGTTTGCTGGGACATTTCGGAAATCAATGAGCTTTAAGTGTCTTTGAGAAACATATCGTTTTAGTTCATCTCTTGGATAGGCAAGATGGTTAAAAAGGTGAGTGCAACAGGAAAAAGTAGTACTCAGTCTGACAGAAATGCACAAGCAATCCCGGTAGCCCAAAGCTCTGAAGGGAAAGGATTTCACCCAAACTGTTTCCATGCTAGACAGTGGGTCTTTTCCATATCTGTGTCATACTGCCAAACTCAACCCTTAAGCTTATTTTCACAAGAAAAGATAGCCCAGGTGACTGGAACTGAAGGAAAAATAGGTACATAGATATAAATAGGCTGCTTTATATATATATATATATGTATGTATAAATAGGTATACATAGGTATATAAATAGGTATACATATATAATATACATATATATATATGTATGTATCACCACTTTACCAGATAAGTCAATAAGTTCTTTTAAAAGAATTGCTGCACAGTGAAACCATTTAAATGGTCTCTCCTTTTAGTAGTTCATCAAACTGAGAACGCAGCAGTGACTACCCTCTTGAGCTGGAAGAATTCAGCTTTCATTTTATAGGGAATTAAAGCCTTTCAGCTCTCCTGGCTAAAATAAACCCTTCTTTTAAAGAACCTTTAGGTAAGGGGCATACACATGGCACTTCCCGGTGCAACTTAGAAGCCCAACTATTTAAATGTGAGTTGTGCACCTCCAAGCAAATCAGCTCCTGGAAGTCTCCAGTTCAGTGGTGAGTGGTGAGTCAGCCACTCAGTGGACCATAATATGTCATGCAGGTACATTGAGCAGAGAAATACGCATCTAGTGCTACTGCTCAGCTAATTCTCTTCTGGTGGACTAGAACTTTCTCCTTTAGGTAGGCTGGTCAGGGCCAGTGTGATATCTGAAAGAGCAATAAAACTGAGAATTTTGGCCTCAAGAGTACGTGACCCATGGTAAGACCCTGATAAACTTTAGAAGTCATTTACTAAAATTGAGATAGCCTCAAAAAATGTCCCGAAGAAAGAAAAACCTGCATCAATGTAAACCCACAAAGGCAAATGTAAAAACCATGTTTTAGTACATGTTGGAGGACTATTTCTCAAACATTCTGAATGTACTATCCTTCCTCAAGTTCATTAGTCTCCATAGACCCTTTCCCAAATTGTCAAACACTAAGCCAGGGTACAAATAACAGCCTTTATGTACAGCAGCTCAGTTTCTTCAGCGCAGGAAAATATGAAGTCCCTGTAAGTATGAACTGCCAGACCGCACAGGAGCTGCTCTGGCAGCGGTCAGCTCTTTCCTGGGGTAGTGACCTCCCTCTTGCCACCACCAGCCATCGCATTTTCCCTCCCCAACCCTGAAGGAACTGAGAGGCTGCCAAGTCAGCGTAAACTTTTTCTTTTGTGTTTTTTTCTCTCAACAATGAATTCAATTAATAATTAATATATAACATCTAAAATTCTTTTTAATGTTTCTTAAAGCTCTTTGAAACTTCCAGTAATTCCCTTGGAAGTTGCGACATAAAGTTTGAGAAACATTGCTCCACCAGAAGGCATACAACTTTTAAAAATATGAGCAAAACCAATACAAAATTTTAAGTGGTAATATCTTTTTACAGCAGTTTCATGAATAAACAGACTTTAAGCTTAATATATATATATATTTAATATTGGATTCAGATCATCACAAGATGTTGAACAGTATGTTTCCAAAAAAAATTAACTTGTTATCAGACCAGCTATGACATGAAAAGGCAATGGAATATTATAACTAATTCCGACTCTGTACGAAAAGCCAGTCAGAATCCATTTTAATAGTGCTGTAAAGAATGCCCAGCTCCCATGTAGTTTAAAGAGAACTAAGTAACTGAAAAGCCAACAAACTAGTATTTTATTTAAATGTAATGATTAAAAAGCATAAGACTATTAATTCTAATCATAAATAATGAGAACAATATAGTACTTATAGATAAAGGAAGGAGGCAAAATAGTCAAGGAGGAACAATAATAACAAATAATAACAAATAATAAATTTTAAAATTAGCATTTTCTCTCAAACCAAGGATTCTGTTGATATTGTTGCTGCTGCTTCTTAGGAGTCTGAAAAGCTGAGTACAACAGAGTGGAGATATGATGTACATGTAATCCAAAATAAAACCTGTTTAAAAAACTACAAATGCTAAGTTCCTGGGAGTCCTTCACCAGTACAACTTACATACAGAATAGTACAGTGAACTATTTTAAATATACAGAAGCTGGCATCCAAGTAAGCTTTGATGAGGAGTGAATAAGAGGGGTCCAAAAGTTTTGTCCATGGGAAGGTCCGGTGGCTGGGTGGCAGACAGACCTGTCCACAGGTCGAGCAAGACCTAGGCCAAATTAGCTGAAGCATTATAACATGTCGATATGTTATTTCTTGAGTCTTTACTATAATTTAAAGGAACTGGATGATGAGTCTTCCACACTGTAATCAAAGACCAATTTCTTTTAACTAATTAGCAAAGTATTTTCCAGAAGGCAAAAGAGGGCTAGTTTCTTGGTCACGTGTTGATAGGTGACTTACTTAAAACTTCCTATGTGCTGAAAAATGTATTTATTGAAACTTCCACAGCCTTACTTTGAAATCTCCCCAAAATAGCACAAGTGGAAAGGAAAAATGAAGCAGACAAGCTAGAAAAAGAAAGTTTATTTAAATTAGGTTCTGAACCAACAGTTCTTTGTTTTGAGGACAGACATAAGTTTCAATAGTTCTAACAGAATTAATTAAATAACTTGTATGTCAAATAATAAAAAAAAAAGATGATACAACTTATCCAATGTATGTACACCAAGGTCAGTAACTGTCAGAAATATGAACATTGTAATCTGAAATATCATTCTATATTTTGCATCAGGAATTGCAGTATCAGGGAAAGCAACTGAGAGACAGATTTAATAAAATTCCTCTTGCAGGAATATCTTAATATTTGTGGTACAATGCCATATTAATTAATACCTCCAATTGCAAAATTAACCTCAAAATTCCCCAAGGCCATAGTTGCCTAATTCAAATTTTATAAAAGCAATAACAACAAACACAGGTTGAAAATCCCTTGACTTCACAAATTCTGACAAGATTCCAAAATGTATTAAGAGAGAGCTCTGATAATCTACAAGAAGTTAGATACTGATGGATATTAAAACAGCAATCATCAAGTGACTGAAAATAAACCAAAAAAAATGCTTTAATCAGGACACAAGAGGAAAAACGACTGTTTTTCTTTTTCTACTGACTGACCTTACAGCTGGAATTAATGCACTTTTAAAAATAAGCTCATTACCTAATGAAGCATAGTACAGCCATGGACTAATTGCAATATTTCCCTGTACATTGAGCTATTAGCTATAAGCTTTTGGACTGTTACACTGGGTGCACATTTATTTTTCATCCTTTTGTCCCCTAGAGAATAATTATGAAAAAAAAAATCAAAATGAGAATAATTATGAAAAAAATCAAAATATTTGCTTTCTGCTAAAAGAAAAAAAATAAAACAAAGAGTGAATCAATTACTATGTAGCCTGTACCTAACCAGGAACCTGTAATTTATAGCAAGACTGCAATGCAAGAGCAAAACTACTCCAAAAACTCTTCTAAATAGTATTTATGCCAATTAGTAGCCAGTTAATATCTGAGCAATCTAAAATCTTTTCTGCATTCAGGGACTATGAACTTCTGACTAGCATAGGGCTAATCTTGATCACTAAGAGTAGACAGCAAATGCTTAAAAAATTAATTATCAGGACACCAAATTTAATTAGTAGGATACCCAGTCAATAAGCCAAAGTGACTGATATACTACTCAGAGTCACTCTCAGCACTTGCACACTGCTGGAACTAGAGGACTTGTCTAGCACTTTTCCAACTTCCAGGCATACTTAGACTGTCTCTATTAAATCTGTTCTTTTGTTTTGTTTTGTTTTGTGTGTGCGCAAATGGCAAATCTCATGTTCGATTATCAGCCATGCAAGCAGAAGGCAATTTACCAATGATACATCACACTATTCACCTTCAGCTAGACCTGAGTTTAAAGTCTTTCAATTAAAATATCTCATAATTTAATTGGCTGAAATATTTAGCCTCTACATTTGTTGCAACAGCCAGTAAAGATATTCTTTGATAGGGTGCATTCAAAAACTCAGTCTCTGCTTTTGTGTCAGCCCACATAAGTGCAGGGCTGACTTCCACCTTCATACTTCACTCCATGCAATTCAATTAATATGTGATGCCAAATTTTCCCTTTACTTTTCTCCTTCTGCAGAACCAAAAAAAAAAAATCACCTGGTACTTTGCAGATACTAATTCACATTTTATTATAATTTCATCCCCACATCTTATTCTAGATACGTCTTTTGCTCATATTTTCTACTTTGACAGAATTATTACTGAGTCATAATTTCATTACAGTATGTGTCTGCTGAATAATACATATGGTTCTATTAACTTAGCTCTGGGATGACAGCACAGTTATAACATTCTCAATTATTTCATGACATTCTGATACAAGAAAACATGTTATTGCATTTTCCACTATTTCCAAAGCTCATGGAAGTATTGCTTTTATGCCTTTTTTCCCATTTGCTACCCCTATCCTAGTCTCCTCTCATACTAAGTCCCTTGCTGCTACTGTAGAATAGCACCTCACATGAATCTGGAACACACAGAAGGTAAGAACAGACACATGGCAATTTCAGTTACAAAACGTACATTTTTTTGAAGAGTTTTTTGAAGAAATTTTTGAAGTAAATCCTGTCTCTGAAAATGGACAACTGCTGGAATATGAAAAGAAATGGAACTATTAAAACAAATAGACATTACTTCTGCATGTTTTTAAATTATACGATTACACTGAACTCTGACTGCTTTTGTTGCTGTTCGATCAATCAAACACAGAGTACCAGTCTCACATTAGGCTACATTTAAACTTTAACACTATTGGATATCTGTTCAGCTTGGATCTACATAAATGAGCAATACAAATCTTCATATTGTACAGATTCAGAAGTTTGTCTTCACTTGGCCATGAAACTTTTTCCACACTCAGTCTACTTAAGCAAATTGTTATTTCTCTTTCTAAAATCACAAATTACAACAGACACACATAGGCATACTGCACACATAAGTGTTGAATGAGGTTCTGGCCTTGTCCCGATGTCATGTTTGATAAAATCGAAATGATATCATGATGATGTCAGGCTTCTATCTCTGATTTTTAACAGTATCTCTACTGTTAAAACTACTCACTGTGGCCTAAAACTATTCATATTTTCTGTGCTATCGGTAAAAAGAAAACCAGTTCTCCTCTTCCTGTCTCCCCAAAGCCATGCAATACTACATAAAAACTATATCTAAGGTCAGATTCATCTTATCTGTTAAGGATAATCCACATCCTGCTGACTTTCCAGACTCCCTTTATCACCAAATGGAGAGAGAGAGCCATGTAGAGGGTGCAATTTATCTCACCCTAAGGCAGATGGATCTAAAATAGGTCAACATGAATGAATGAATAACTGTTATGTAAGTACACAAGGAAGATGACAAACCCAAATATAGATATGTACATGGTGGACCTCTAAAGCTAGATAATTTGAATAATATCCCAGTATCTATACTGAATTAAGTACGCTGAGATACAAACTACAGCCAAATAGAACACACTACAAGACAACTGGATATTTGTTTCTGGAACTTAGTGTGTGGTTTCAAATTCTTTAGCTCATGAATACAGTCACTGTAAGATGACCACAGGAATCCTCATTTGCTAACTGGATTTAGTCAAAATGGTGTATTTTTTTTTTCCGTTTTCTTTTTACCCTTTTGGAGTAGCTTTTCTTGAATTAATTGCACATTTGTGATAATAAATGTCCTGCTTCGGGAAGTCTTTTTTGAGGATCTTCAGTGGAATTACTATAATGGCAAACAATAAAGTGTAGCCAAAAGGAATATTTAGGGAAATTAAGCGAGTTCACGAAGAAATACTCAACTTAAAAAGGAAATTTTAGACCAAAAGTATGCGATAACATTTAAAGCAATGGTCTGCAATTTTCATTGGTAATATATATTATCACTAAAACTATGATAAGAAGCACAGCTTACAAACAGGACATTCATCCACTCATGTAATACATACAGATTTACAATTTTAAGTTCAGATTGTAATAAGGAATTTTTGGTTGAAAGTTTGTATCACATCTCTTAGCCAGTGTTTTGTATCTATAAGGCCAAAACATCTTAATCATCTCAAATCTATCCATTTTGAACCATTATAAAATTGAATACACATATATTTAAAATAAGTTCTTCAAGGTATTAGTTTTTTTTTATGAACCTGTTATTTTTTTTTAAATGGCAAAGACCACAGCAACCAGTAGTGGCATTTCCATATCTCATTTTTCCTTTTGCCTGAGCAATATAAAATCTTTTCACCTCCAAAGGTACTTAATTCTAAATTAGCCTTTTTTATTATGACTATAAAAATGTCCTCAAAATATAGTCTTTATGAAATGAAAATAAAATTGTAAATATTGTCCTATCTGAACTGAAAGGAAAAAGGGAAATATTTTTTAGTTCCATCTGTTGGTAACATGCTTTCATCAGTCTGGAGATAACTCTTATTTCCTAGAGTAATCCATCACAGTGACATTTTATCCTGGAGTGAAACATGAAAGCTTTAGTGAAACCATTACATGGTTTTCAGCACATTGTAGACCTAATAAAAATAAAAAGCCAGCTGGACCTCCTGTACTACATTTCCTGAGGTGCAAAAGTTTGATATCAAGAAGAGCTTTAACACAAATGTGACTTTATTTACATGAGCAAATTTTGATGGCCAAGTGTTTCCTTAAATAGAAAATGATCTTAGGAAATTTCTTATAATGTCATGATGATTAACCTAACAACTAAAGATATTTTTCCTGCCCTCTTTATTTGGAGGTATATTGCTCTGAAAGCTTAACAAAAAGTCAAATTAAAATTGGAGAGTTTCTTAAATATGCTTGGAAAAGTGCATGACAACCCTAAAGCATCCTCTGTCATGCAGGATGCTGTCCTTTCTTCCCCATTGCTCAAAGATTTATTTGGGATTACTTTTCTATGACATAAATTCTGTATTATTTCTTAACTTTGAAAAGTCCTACTAACAAACAGGTTTAACTTCAATTGACCATATGAGAAAAAAAACTGCAGAGAAATCATTTCAAAAACATTTTTTCAAAGCATACAAGAGTAAATCCATATGCTGCTTAGATGAAGCACAATAAAGCATCATTGAGATAACCTGTAGTTAAAATGATGGTGTATGACTTATGATTAAGCTTCATTACCTGCAGAGCAAGGGGCTTCCATCTCATATTTTTCAGTAAAGCTGGTGCTGAGGTAAGCATGCTCTGAGGTCGCTTTTTCAAAGTTAAGATAACACCACTCGGATCCTCTCGTAGTGCATTCACCAAATTTTTCAACTGCCACCCCACCTGGTAACCAGTAAAATCAGTACAATAAAATTGAGGTACAGTATTCAATATGTAATGTTCCCTTTTTAAGTAAGATTAGTAAAATAACATAATAGGAGTGTAAATATATTTTAAAGGAGATAACTCTAGAAATGTCAAAAATAAATTACTGCATGAAAATCACGTCAACTAAAATATTTTTTAAAATGCATTAAGATGGATATGCATCACTTCAGATTTTAGAATTAATAAACTACTCCACTGTTTCTCCACTGTAAATGCACATTTAAGTCTCAAAATAAGCTCTGGTACATAAACTTTAGTAAGTTTAAAAGCCATACCTTCTTCCACCTACAATTTAGTTCATAACTGAACATCTTATGCTCTGGAGTTACCATAAAGTCTACTAACCACATGTAGTCAGTCTTACTACTTCTGATCTAAAAATCCTAGCAGTTGATGCAAACACAAACAAATTCAAGGAAAAGTTCTACTCTTTGCAGTACTAAAAAATAAAATCTGAATCACAGGCCTTTTTAACGAATACTCCTTTCATGATGGTCTCAGAAACAAATAAAGCAAATTAGTAACAGAAATATAGATTATTCACTACTTGAATACTAGCTCAATTATTTTTTCCCAGTTATATTATGGCATTTTGAAGCATTCTGAAATTAAGAATGTGTTTAATGAGGAACGCAATGAGTCTTTATTTCTAGACAGGTAGATCTAGACAGATAAAGCTTTCTGAACCATTTGTTTTGTGTTTTTGAAAGATTTAATTCCAATATTAAAATGTTACAACTCAAGACAACAATTTTTAATGTAAACAATGCTTGGTTTTAGATTGAAACACTTCAAAATATCCTTGATAGTTTGTTTTTCAGCATATTCAATCATGTACACTCAGGTTTGGCACCTACAGCAGCAACACGCAGAATCATACGTCATTTGAAAATCTTAACCTATACACTTAGCGATTATCTTAGTAAATTTGACAGCTCACCTTCCTCTTTCTCTGCTTCTCTCGTTCCCAGCCTCTTTCCTATATTAACTGGTATGTTTTCCTTATATTTAAAGCATCACCATTACAAACATTTTCCTTTTTTCATAATTTATACAAGAATGATGTTAAAAAGCAAACTGTCAAATTGAGCTGTGAAATTCTTACTGAAAGAACTTCTAGAATCATGAAGTGGTTACATCCTCTTTAAAAGGAATTTTTATATCATGTTGATATTTTAGAAAAAAACAAATGAGCAAACAGAATGCAGGTGTTACTTATTATTAGTCCCATATAATATGATACAAATAGGCATTTGTTACCTATTTTTAAGCAAAAGAGTCATTAAGTAGCTTGTTGCTACTTGTTTTTTATCTTATTCTCTACTAACCCAAAACTCACTCTGTTCGTTTAATGTCACATATTTTAACCACTTCAGTGTACCATTTAAAGTCAACAACAATGTTTATGCCAATAACCCAGAATGACACACAGGATTCAAACTTTTCTGCGCTTCCTCAGTTAACGTGAATCAAGCTGCCCTTTCTCACCACAGCAAACTGAAAAAAAATGCTATGTTCTCACTTCCAGGATTATATTCAGGATGTACTTCTACTGTAATATATACTGTAAATATAAAAGCAAGATGTTGACAACATGTCCCTTTGTGGAATATTTTCCAGCTTTCACCATGGACTTCTGAGCATGGCTGGAATTTTTGTCTTCAGTCTAATGCATTAGACATACTGTGCTACTACATTCTGAATAAAATTAAACATATACCTACTCAACCTCACCTCAATATCCACATGCTACTGAAGTCTCCATTCTACTTTAACAATATCTGTAAGAAGCCTCTCTAAGTTCAGGTTTTATACCTTAATATTATAGTTTTATAAAAAAATCTTGCTATCTGCAAAACTATCATCTGACCAGCATTCAATGTCTGTTTAGAAACAGCATGTTAGTCATAGCTCCATACTGTTGAGTGTGTGTAAGGTTTCATTTGCTCTGTGCTATCTGAAAGAGGGAATTAAAATGCTCCAGTTCATATGTGACACCTCTATATGCAAGCTACTGTACACTTCAATTCCCTGTGTCACAACTGAAGACAGGCTTCTAAAGAAAAATCCTTCTACTGCAGACAGCAGCCCAACCAGCCTGGGAAGGACATGGTGTGAACCCAGCTAACAGAGTTATGAGTCTTCCCACTTAAGTCTGTAGGGCACTCCATAGAAAAACGGGGCTTCAAGGCCAACTGTTCCCATAGAAATAACTGGAGAGATGTAAACAAAACAGTTCTTCCTTTTTCCTTACACTAGCAGTTTTCAAATTATTTTAAATGCACTTTCCAATTTTGAAGGACCAACTGAATTCTGCATTTGAATTAGGCCTTTACTTTGTCATAAACAGATTATCGTGTCATGAGAATTAGGGACATCACAGAAAAATTGCTCCAAAACACTAGATCTTATGTATTTCATTTAGAAGCTTATAAACAGAAGCTATTTTACTTGTTTTCTCACAGGAAAATGCTGAGTTTGCTATAAATTTCAAATGAAGTCCACTCTCTGCTTTTACTTACTTGCCTGATAGGAGTCATCTGGCTATTTCAGCCAGTCTCTGGATCGCTTCTTTAGATCAAACATAGGCCTGAGAAGTCACATGAAAGGTTGTTGATAATAAATTGAATGAAATTGATGACGTCCGGGAAGGAGGCATATTTTCCATTTCTCACTGAAATTCCCACCACATAGTTTAGATCCCACCAATATTCATATCAACACACACTGAACAGAACGGACTTTATTTAAAGAGCTCAGGCTGGGTTGAAGAAAAGGCAGTCAAGGTATCTGGAATTGAAAACTGTTTTCCAGAAATATGCTTTAGTGATATGTCATCCAAATTTTCTTCTAAGCACAGCTTATTCTCTCTAGCCTTTCCTCAAGATCTTCCCTTTCTCACTACCATCACAGTCATCAGTTCTCAACTTCCAATCACCAAGATTTTGGACAGAGCTTTTAGGCTTCCAACCATGTCCTTTGTTTTAATTTTGCTCACTTTGGCAGATAACGACTGAAGAACACGTTGCAAAGCATCTTATACTAGACCTCATCTCTGCTTAACAAAACCAAATGTATTTTACTGTCTAAACCAACCACTTTTCCTGGCTCTGTGCTAGACTGGCTTGAGACGAGCAATCTCTGCCCAGATTCTCAGTATCTTCCTTTTTGCTGTTCATAAACGAGGCTAAACTGATCCTACTATTTACAGCTTTTACAGTAGCTATTTATTCATTTATTCACAACAGATACTGGAGAATCAGCTGTATGGAGGTATGTGCAACCAGATTAACTCAGAGAACTGTTCTAGATCATTAGTCCGCCTTCACACAGGTAACCACATCAGAAATGCAAATTATAGGAAGTGTTTTGATAGCTCTGTGCTTCAATTCTTCTCTCTAGGGCATGGAGACCTCCCCACAGCTTTTCTAAAAGTCTCCAATTGCCTTAAATAAAATATAATATTTCAGCCCTTCCAGAAAATTCACTGGAGGAATAAATGAGAATCAATTACAATAGTCCATTTTCCTCCTGAGTCCATTATTATGAAAATGAAAATTATAAAGAAAAAAGTTCTTAAGAAATAAAAATCTGTGCTACAAAAAGGGGTTATTTGCTCAGTTGTTTTGAGTTCTTCATATACTACATTTTTTCTATTTTTCTAAGTTCATTGTCACATCTGTAATGAACTCTCTGTGACTTCACTCTGACTATTCACTTCCGTAAAATATGACATTGATTCTCGCATGACATTCACCTCACCTAGCTTTGCTGATCTACAAAGCAGGTGTCTAGTCCAATTTACTCCCCTAGCCTCTCTTACTGGTTCAGAGTAAATGCAAGTGACAGCACTTCGGAGGGTGACTCATCCCATCCCATCCTAGAAGTTGCCCCTGCACTGCAAAAAGGGACAGTAATAACAAAGTTTCAGTACTGGTTTGAAAAATCAAAGCGTAGTTAAATGCTGGCACGAAGTTCATGGGTTATGTTTAGTTTGTAGAAAGTTGCACTAAAGCAAGCCAAGCACTTAACTTTTAAATGACAGCATCACTTGGTAATGCTATGTGCCCATTTTTAAGCAGTAAGCAAGCTCCTGTTGTTTAACATAGAAATTTGTGTTGTTCAACCAGTGCCATTAACAAACTTTAGTCAGGAGAGGTCTCTGTAGCAGCTGTCTGAGCTCATCATTTGTTTTTACTCCATAGTTCCTATATTATTCCCAAATCCTAGTACAGCTCGTCATCAAGACCAGAGAGGGCCAACCACAGGAGGAGGCAAGGAGGACCAAGGCCCTGCTAAGTGTTGGTGTGACTCTCCACTCTGAGGTAGAGGCGGCAGGGCCCTGAGAGGTGAGATGCCCACAACATCAGGATACCTCTGAATTTCTCATCTCATCTGACTGCAATGTCCCCAGAGGCTGCAGTGGGGCTAGGAAGCCAGCACGCCCTATGCAGCTCAAAGCCACTAGGTTCTTCCAGCAGAGCTTGCCAAGGCCGACCGGACACACAGACATGGCCAATAAGTCCATGGCCATGACCAACAAGAAAAGCAGATATTCCTGAGCCAAGATGTTGAGGTTATATTTTGCAAGACATCTAGTACAGTCCCAGCTTTTCCTTGGCTTGCAGCAAGCACAGCTGGATCAAAATATCATGATGGATCATAGTATATCGTATCTGAAAAGACACCTATATTTTAATCTCCTGTTCCAAGTTGCCAAAAATGCTAACATATTAAATATTAAAAAGTTGCTCTTAATTCAACAACCTTTTTATTGCCCCCTTTATGACAATGTGGGAAAACTGATGGCAGTCTTCTCTCTGCTCTTCTCAAGGACAGATATAAAAAAGCCTGAAAATTCACTTGATATTAAATCTCTCTGTGTATTATGGGGAAACTAAATCACAGCGCCAGGACAGAGACCTACTGACTTTCTTAACCAGTTCAGCCCTTCC